AATTCAATATTAAACAAAATGGGTAAATAAAAAAGAAACTTGTTCTGGCAAAGGAAAACATGCTTGTAAAGAGCTTTAAGGATTGTGTGAGTACTAAAAAAATTTAAGTATTTTGGTGCTAAAAAACATTTTTTTTAGTACAAAATCGCAAAATTTACTACCCTATTTGAGGGAAAGCAACTCGTGTGCGTCAAACTGAAGTTTAACAACGAGTAAAGGCAGCAGTAAAAATATAATTTTATTGTACACTAAAGAACTACTTGAAAAGCGGAATATTTAAGCAGAATGTGCACCATTCAGAGTTGTGGCCATGCAACATCAAGTATTATCGTCTGATATACTATTCCGTATGACTCAGCAAAACAATATAAAATCAAAGTTGTGAACTTAAGAATTGAAAACGACAGAACATTTTCTAGAGAACAGTGTGATTCTTCCAGTATTCCACACATGTGTATCGTCTAAAAAGAACTAACCAACCTCAGGAAGATAGAAAGGCGATTCGTTCGCGATATAGGTAAGAGAGAAGGTCCGGAGGAAATGGAAGATATTTACCAGTTGGAGCAGATAGTCAACCGGGCTTTAAACTTGATCATCTGCCAAAGTTGTAGCAGGACTGTGACTTGACTAACTAAAACAGGGTATCTGCTAGCCTGAAGCTTTCTCAATTGTTTGGCTTTATTGCAATTGAATTGAGTGCAAGCCAAATAGCCCTGCATCAGTTCTGTGCCATGTAAACTATAGTAAATAATTTCAATTAGGCGCTTTACACTTCAGTACACTAAACAAATCCTATTACCCCGGGGCACCCACACAGTCCGCACCGCGACCCAACTCCCCTCTCTCCACCCACCCAAACAGGTTGGAGCATGTCCATGCAAGTGCATATAAATTTTTAATTCAATTTCAGAACAAAACATAAACAAAAGAAACTTAACAAGGAAAAAAAAGTAGAAAAGTGTTGTTGAAAATGTTCTTCAACCAGTTTTTTTTGACATCGAAGCCGAATAAAAAAAATTGTTGCGAACTTTTCGGTCGTGGCACAACCGCCGGCTATCGGAAAATGTCCAAGTGGCAGGAAGGACTCTAAATATGCATGTAAATTGCCCGGCCCTGAGCTGAAGCCAAAGTTGCGCAACTTTTCAAACACACAAGCCATTCCCTCTGTACCGCATGCAATGTGCTCTAAAATAGTTTTATTGAAATTATGTTGTTGTTGTTGATGTAGCTGTTATACCCCTTACTCCAAATAGGTGAAAAGGGTATCATGGCTCAGTGCTAATGTATGTCACAGGCAAAGACTCAATAGATAATTTATTTTCTTGATCACATGCTAGGGATTCGAAATTTGATGTAGTTTATCCCCGTTTCCATAAAATCGATAATTATAGATATTGAAATAAGGTTTATTGGGAATAATTCGATGATTTCTATAAAATCGATAACGGTCGATGCTGAAATAATGTTTATTAAGCATAGCTCAAAGATTTCCCTAAAATCGATAATTATCGTTATTGAAATACGATTAATTGGGCTTAACTCGAAGATTTCCCTAAAATCGATAATTATCGAGTATATAAAATGGTTTATTGGGTATAGTTCGAAGATATCCATGAAATCGATAATTATCGATTTTGAAATATGTTTTATTGGGCATAGCTTGATTTATTCCACAAAATCTATAACTATCGTTTTTAAAATATGGTTTATTGGTCATAGTTCGAAGTTTCCATAAAATCGATAATTATCGATGGTGAAATATGTTTAATTGGACATCGCTAGATTATTTCCATAAAATCGATAATTATCGATATAAAAATGTTGTTTATTGGGCATAACTCCAAGATTTCTATAAAATCGATAACAATCGATTTATTTGGCATACCTCGAATATTTTCACAAAATTGACAATTATCGATCATTATTGCGCATAGCTCGAAGATTTAGATCTGGATATACCAAATTTAGTAGGTAGGTTCTCGTATGGTATACACAAATTGAGAATATTTCACTTCAAATCAATCCGAAGCTGTACAAATCAAAGGAGAGCATTGTGCCTAAAGATAGGACTTTTAAGCACCCAAGCTATTCAAGATTGTATTTTCTATAGTTTAGTGCTAAGGGTAGAAAAACTTTGAATATTTATAACCGCAGTTCGGCGCTCTGTTCGGGGTATCCGCTGCCCGAGCACCCCCTTCTAGAGTCCTCCTATTTGTCGTTGTTGTTGCTGCTGCTGCTGTTTCTGCTGCTGGGCGTGTGAATGTGTGCAAATTTTAACCTTAATTTCTTTGGCATTCGCTTGTCAATTAAGAGCGCGTCAAGGACTTTTGCCCCGGAATTGCACATCGCAAACCACTTTTCTTCGACACGCCCCGCAAAACCCCTTCCCCCCGCCATCACACACGACCAATTGCATTTTGTAGTCGCACTCTAAAAGCTGCCGCTGCTGTCAGTCATCGATTGCCTCTGGCCTTACATATATCTATTTTTTTTCGGAGATTTCTAAATCCACGCCGCCCTTAAAAATCACTTTGGCAATTTTACATTATTTTCGCCTTTGGCCTTTTTGTTCAGTTCCCTTAGTTATTGCGGAAATCAATAGAGTATATCCCGAGAAAAACTCATTAAACTAGCGAATAGCATAACAAGCAATTTTCAGTTATCAAAATGAAAAAAGAAAATACACAAAAATACAAATAAATTAAAAAAAACTACAAGCAAAATCAGCTTTATCATCAATATTTTCCACATTCCGCTTCGCGGCAATCAATCAAAAATTAAAGTCAAACAACAGGACGCTTACAAAAGTATTTTCAACGACAAACAGGAAGTGACTGGAAGTTCGAGACAGAGAAATAATATTTACTAGTTCCAAATAACATTACAACTCTTGACTAATAGATACTCTCTAAACAGTCCACAGGCTCCTTTACGGCACGAGCAACGTCCAGAACTAATATTTCAATAATCTGTAAGCTAGCTAGATCATTCCCACAATTAAGAACACCGCTATATTGTTTGTTTCTTCACTTCCTTTACGAGTATCGGCTTTCTTTGCGATTTTCATGTGCGCATATATCACTTATATGATATTTATTCACCTTTAGAGGGTATTACAATTGAGTCACAAAATGTATGTAAAGCTTATAAGCACATGCATCCCATGAAGTGTATATAAGTTTATATATATTGATCTGTTTCAACAGCAAGCTAGTCTCTCGGTCTAAGTTAAGGCTATTGTTTTTTTTTTTCAAGATAGGATCAGTCGAAAGTTAAGATCTTGTATGAAAAATTTTTTTTCCATGACCAAACTAAACGGGTTTTAGTTAAACTATAGTCCTTATCAACATCGTCATGACATTAATCGTTAAGTCAATAATTTTCTTGTGGATATGGCACATTTTTTTATTTTTCAAGACGACTTGACCAACCTAGATAACTATGACCTTTATATAGTATTTATATTTTATTGAACTTTTTATCGGACAACTACATCATATGGCTCCTATAGGAACAGTCGTAGAAACAAGTTGGATATAAAGCTATAAACATCTTTAAGTCGTATGTCTACATTCTCACTCTTTCTCTCTCCCTCTCTCTGTCGATACTCCGATATTTGGTACAGGATATCAACCAGTCGACAACTCTTTGCTACATCAATATTCCAATTTGCTTAATTATAGAATTCCAATAGCAACAACGTTATAATTAGAAACAAACTTTTCCTCATAAGAACTTCTTAGAACAAGGCGCAGCAAAAGAAAGCCGGAACACACCCACTGAGACCCACAGCTACGCCCACTTTCCATCAATAACCCATTAGCACGCAGTGCAAATAGCACTCGAAGGCGTCTTAGTTAATCCTATAGTATATAGCATTTGGTAATTAGTTGATATTTTGATGAGGAATACAATTATGAGAAATAGAATAATAAACTTATGGAGTATTTCCCTTGTACAGAGTATTTTTGTCAAGCTAAAGTTAAAAAAGTTGTGTTTTCGCGTTCCAAAAAGACAATCATCGTCATGTTAAGAATTGAAGAACTTATTAGAATCGTTCTGTGTTCGCAATCTAAAAAAGACAATCATCATAAAATTTATTAGGCTGAAATTTAAAACTTTCTGATCCCGCGTTCCCAAACAGACAATCATTGACTAGTAATGAAGCTAAAATAAAAAGTGTGCTGTTTCCGTGCTCCAAAAATTGCAATAATCGTAATTTTAAAAATTGCAGCTCAAATCAAAAACGTTCTGTTTCCACGTTCGAAAAAAGACAATCATCGTAATATTAAGAATCGCAGCTAAAATTTAAACTGTTCTGTTTCCACGTTCCAAAAAGGAAAATCATCGTAATGTTAAGAATTGCAACTAACATTATAAGCGTTTTGTTTCCGCGTTCCAAAAAAGACACTCATCGTCATGTTAAGAATTATAGATTTTATTAGAAACATTCTGCGTTCGCGTACTAAAAAAGATAATCATCATAATGTTTATTAAGCTAAACCTAAAAAGTTCTTATTCCGCGTTCCTAAAAAGACAAATAACTAAAATTAAAAGCGATCTGTTCATCATCGTATTAGAATATTCGCAATGTTAAGAATTGCAGCTAAAATTAAAAACGTTCTGTTTCCGCGTTCCACAAAAGTCATTCAGTGTTATGTTATCGCTACGGAATGAAAAACGTTCTGATTCCGTGTTCCACAAAAGACAATCATCGTAATGGTGTAATCTACAGATATCTTGACATTTTTAAGCGCGATAAAACGAAATAATTCATAGGCTCGAATTTGACTGAAATTATGTTCGAATCCCAGGCGTAGTTTTGTCTTAGTTGCCTGTACTAAATAAGATAGTAGAGTTGATAGCTTGCAACTATATTCTATACCGATAATAATAATATTATTAGTATAGGGTATTCACAGGTGCAGCTATGCAGGCAAACATTATATAGTCGGCAAGAAATAAAACCATACTTAAATAATCCCTTATCGCCTTTACAGGAATTGGTGGCCATATCGCCCGAGCGTCGCAATTGGCGTGGCATCTTTATAGCCCTGCTGGTTATCGCCGCCGTCTTCAGCTTGATCATCTTTTCTATATTTCTGCTATCGCCCGAGGATGAGGGCCTGCGCATTCGCGGACGCCGAATGTTGCCCAGCGACATTCTAAGCAAAAGCCTGCAATGGAAGCCATTCAACGGCACCTGGAGCAATGGTGAGTTTTTCGAAAGCAGACCGAGAAATTATTAAAGATGTGCAATATCCATTTATGCCCATATTCAATGGATCCATCTTCGACCTTACTGAGTACATAAATATATTTATATATAAAGATATTATTATTATTATTTGGTCAAGACATCGAACTGAGTCGATCTAGCCATGTCCGTCTGTCACTCCGTTTGTGCAACTGACCAAACTCTGGCCCAACATAAGCTAAAGTTGTTTTTTATTCTTATCGAAATCTCTTCAGCAATTCAATAAATCGATAATTATCGATATTACAAAAACAGTTTTTTTAAATTATAAATAATAGAGTTTATTATTATATTATACTCTCGTATAATATTTACAGATTCCGATAATTTTACTGATCAGATACCTTACCGCCTGCCTTGCGCTTTGGGTATATACGCACATGTCTATACCCTAAAAATATTGTTATTATTTGACAATAAGCACGAGATATTCAAAGAGTGTAACGGCATCTCGGCTCTGACTAGGTGAAGGGTACTTACGAGTCGGACATTTCTGACTAGATGCCAGCTGTTTGTGGGCCTTATTCTTAGGGATTCCTTTGCACTTTTGAGTCTTATATAAATAAGATATATATGTCAATCTGTTTCTTGTTCTTACAGATCACGAATTAGTCTATCGCGATCCGTCGGGTGGTCTGTCCATACTTAACATGACGGATTATACCACGCGGATTCTTATGACCAACTCCACGTTTGTGAGTAGCCCATAGATCTATTATTGCGCACCTGTCTCAACAGTCACTCTCTCTCTGTCTCTCTCTCTTTCTCTCTCTCTCTCTGTCCCTCTTTCCCTTGTTTTTACAGCGCCAACTGAACGCCGAATCGTTCCTGGTAGCACCGGATCAGAAGTACGTATTACTGCAATCGGATAGCAATGTCGAAGGCTCCAGGTACGTACTGCATGGGTCATCAGCTCTTGGGGGCAGCTCATAATGCTTCCGTCCTGCTTTAATCAGGCACCACGTTTACGAGGTGCAAACGGCCAACACATTTCCACTGGGACCAACGGAGAATATTGCGGAAGCACCGCGTCTGCAGCACGTGATTTGGGCGCCCATCAATCCACCACCACCACCACCGCCGCCGCCTCCTTCAGCAGCAACGGCAGCAGCAACGCCGGCCACATCGACCATGTCGCCGCTGCCCAACGGCAGTATTATTCTGAACAGTCTGGCTGGAGCTGCAGCAGGCGGTGCGGGCAAGCCGACGCCCACAACCAACGCCAATGGCTCTGCCAATGGGAGCGGTCCGAGCAATGGGAATGGCGGCACCAAGGCGCCATATTCCCTCAACCAGGCCATCGCCTTCGTCCACCACAATGACATCTACTACAAGCCCAAGGTGCAGGGTGAACTTGTCTGCCGCATCACACAAACGGGCGCTGCGGGCGTTTTCTATAATGGAGTGCCCGATTGGACATACGAGAATGTGCCGGAACTGGACAGTCTACGGAGTAGCATTTCCTTCTCGCCGGACGGTCTCTTTCTCGCCTTCCTCAGCTTCAACGACAGCGAAGTGAATGAGTACAAGTGAGTAGTGCAATGAATGGTAGTGAGTACAAGTGAATAGTGCATTGAGTACAAGTAAGTGTTTGTGTTGATGGCCAATGGAATCATTTCCTAATTGCAACAGATAAAAGATAAACTTTCCTTTGGAAGTTAAGAAAGCGATGCCAACCTATTGAAAATAGTCGAAAAGAGGCAGGGAGAAGCAAAATCCGAGCCCAAAAATAATATATATTATTGATCAGGGCAATAAGCTGCCTCGATCTATTCATGCCTATCTTTCTAAAATTTCAAATATAAATAATATCATGTTTATCTTCTCGTGCGATTCCCCTCATTTCTATATCGATAATTATCGATGTTTAAAGAAAATGCTGCGTATAAATAAAAGATTTTAAGAGCTACACATTGATCAAGACAATAAGCTACTTCGATCTATCCATGCCTGTCTGTCCGAAATCCACACCTAGATCATGCTTATCTTCTCGTGCAATTTCCCCCCATTTGCATATCGATAATTATCGATAAGTAAAGAAGAGTTTTAAGCACAAATCAAAGATTATAAGTACATAAATCTCAAAGTATCACCCACTCGGGCACTTTCGCCTCGAATACTCTTCTTGATCGGTCAAGTATATCTTCCTTAACTTATTCTTCGCATAACATATATTATTTGGAAGATCTTTTAATTATATAAAATGTGTATCCAAGCGAGAACCTTTACAAGAACTTTGTACATATATGAGATGTAGTAAGCACTTCTTTCCGGCAGATATACATGGATGGGCGACAATATCAAGTACCCGGCGGTGCTGAGCCAACGTTATCCAAAGGCGGGCTCCCGCAATCCGAACGTGACGGTGAATGTGGTCAATCTGTCGGTGATCAAGTACATATTTCCCACGCAGATCAAGCTGCCCGTCGAGCTGGGCAATGACAGCTATGTGGGCGGCCTGACATGGGCATCGCCCATCGATTTGTCCGTAACGGTAACGAGTCGCGATCAGACCAAGGCCACCACAGTTATATGCCGCGCACCGCACTTCCACTGCCAGGTGGTGCATACCGAGGTGACCATCAACGATGGCTGGGTATTGCCCGCCGAGCGTCCGATCTTCTCGGCCCGCTTGGCCGCCCAGCTGCGGCAGCTGCAGCTGCAGGAGATGGCCGCGGGCGAGGGTGCGTCGTTCAGTGCCAATGAGAGCCAGGCGAATGTCACCAACGGACAGACCACCTACGAGATCTCCAATGGCGGCTATCTGCTGAAGCGATTGCCTGTGCGCGATGGCGAACATGGCCACTATCGTCATGTGGTGTTCATATCGTCGCTGGACCGCCGGCCCGTGCCGCTGACAATGGGTCGGTTCGAGGTGACCGAAATTGTCGGCTGGGACGAGCGGCACGAGATCGTTTACTTTATGGCTGCTCCTGAAAGGCGGCCCGGCGAACGCCACCTGTACAAGATCAGCCTTAAACTAAACGTCACCGAAACGAATCGCACCTACATCACATCGACACAGCCCACCTGCCTTACCTGCGACAACACCGAGTCCACCTATCGGCTGCATCGGGCTCGCAGCACCAATGCCGCCGAATGGCAGCGTGGCGAGCGCTGGGAGGAGATTGTGGCCCGCCTGGAGCCGGATGACTGCATCTATGACATACCCAAGAACTGTTTGTACAATCGCGTCCAGTTCAGCCGCGACTATAGCTACTATGTGCAGGAGTGCTTGGGCCCGGAGGCGCCCAGCGTTTACCTCGTCGAGACGTCCAGCAATGAAAAGATCTTTGTGCTGAATGCTGGCGATGTGCTGCGCCATCGTCTATCCCAGCTGGCGATACCGCAGACGCGCACCTTTAGCGTCGAGATACGACATGGCTTTCATGCCCAGGTCCGGCTATATTTGCCGCCGGGCATGCGCGAGGAGGAGGAGGTCGCCTTTCCATTGGTGCTCCATGTGTAAGTAGCCTAAACAAAAAGCCCGCTTCCTTTTACTCGGGAACCCAGATTTTGGTTGAAATCTTGATTTGTTTTTATACCCGTATATATATTCACAGCGACGCCTCGCCGGGCTCTCAGCTGGTCACGGAGCGTTTTCATGTCGACTGGAACTGGTATCTGTGCAGCCAGCGCAGCTTTATTGTTGCCCAGATCGATGGACGCGGCAGCGGCTACCAGGGCGAACTGCTGCGCACCCAGGTGCATGGCAAGCTGGGCACCGTTGAGATCGAGGATCAGCTCGGTGTGCTCACGTAAGTCTAGCCCAATCGCCGGACTTTTTATATTGCCACAATCCCAATGTATTGCCCAAAATTTCAGCTATTTGCGCGACAATCTCAAGTTCATAGATCCGCTGCGCATTTGCGCCTTTGGCTGGGGCTACGGCGGCTACGCCTCGGCCATGATGCTTATCGATGACTCGCAACAGGTGCTCCAGTGCGCCGTCGCCATCAATCCCATTGTCAGCTTTGGCTATCACTGTGAGTGTTCACTGTACAAGTGTAAAGAAAAAAAAGATGTTAAATTCAATAATAGGAAAATCAAAAGTCAATTAGATCAATATACAAATTGTTTGTCCTGATTGCCTGCTTGACCGACTGACTGATAGATGGACTCACTGACTGACCGACTGATCAATCTAGGTGCTAAGCCCTGATCACAATGCCATCAATCATCAAAATCGGTTAAGTGATGACAAGGTTATGCAAGTAGTGCCCTTTTTTAGGAGCTAAGAACTTTACAAGATAAAAAATTAACCCCTTTTGTATCATTTTAAAACTGAAGTTTTTACTGTAGTTGCCTTTTTAACAGTTGTGAAAAAATTGCTGAAAAACGTTTGGGGGAAAGCTTTTTTTCTTACCCTCCGCTCGGGCTCATAGTCAAAAATCTTTGTGAAAATTCACTTGTGTTGTGTTTCACACTTTTCGTGGAATCCACGCGTTCTGGGTTGTATGGGGCGGCTCAAACTCTTTTTTAAAGCTCTGCATAATTAAATATCTATGTTCTACAAGTGGCAGAAAAACCATCACTCGGGCATAGCCGGGTAATACCCGCTAGTTTTTTACCTTTACTTATTTTACTAAGACAGTTAATCCACCCATTTTCCGCTCTTGGAAATGGTTGTGCCGAAATTAATTAAAGACGCTGTGAGGCATTCTGATACTTTGAGAATTTATTTAGAAAAAACAAATTTTAAAACTTGGCCCTACTAGGAAACTTGATAAACACCCGGAGGGGTACTGGGTTTTCCTTAAATTAGCAATTAATAAACGTCATTATTGATTCTTTCTAAAAAACTTCAAAAAATTAGTTAGAATTAATTTTAATGAGGAGTAAACAATATTGCAGACAAACATTTTCGCCCTTTTTTCACCATTCCGGGTGGAATTAGCTTACGTTACGAAAGGGAACTACTGTAAAAAGAAACTTTGTTGTATTCAACCAGATCTATTTATATACGAGAACATCAAATTTGTTGTATCTAATATTGTATATCTTCTCATGGCAGATTCCTTTTTCACGGAGCGCTATATACCGCTAAAGGGTGACTATCTGCGCGCCTTGCAGGAGGCCGATCTCACCATGAAGGCGGGCAATATAAAGGGACGGAATCTGATGTTGATGCATGGTACGGCGGATACGCTGGTGCATCAGGAGCATACACTAATGCTGGTGCGGGCACTTGTCGATCAGCAGGTGAAATTCCGTCATCAGGTATATCCCGATGAGGATCATGCCATTGCCAGATCGCTCAGTCATGTGTACAAGACAATGGAATGGTATTTCGATGAATGCTTCGGCCCCGTCGACGACAACGAGTGGGACCCAACGGGTCTGTTTGTGTTCAAGCAATAATTAAGACCCCCCTACGATCCTTATGACGAGGATCCGCTAGCCAATCAGCTAATCGACATCGAACTGGATCCCGGCGAGCGCAACAACCAGACAACGGCGCTCTCAGCCCTGGATGAGCTGGACAACAGCCTCCAGGCGCTGGACCTCATGACCTCATCGGCAATGACACTTAGCAAAGTCTCCAGCAAGCTCTGCAACTATAGTAGCAAACGAAAGCTTCAACAGACCGAAACGACGCTGGCCAAGAAGATCCGCATCCTTCAGCATTAGCATGTGTGAGTGAGTGCATGTATGTGTATGAATGTGTGTTTGTGTGTGTATGTGTGTGTGTGTGTGTGATTGTGAATGTATGTGTGATTTTTTTTTAAACCCAATATGAACAAAGTTGGATTTTTGTTGTGTTTTGTTGAAAGTTTTATCAGTATATTTTAAGTATTTTTGTCTGTATTTTCAGTATTATTGCAGTATCTTTTAGCATTTTTTTTTTAGTATTTTGAGTGTGACAACAAATTTTGGGGTGTGCGTGTGTTGAAATTTCTTGAGATGTGCGATAGCGAAGCGTTCTGATAGGCCAGTTTATAACGCAAAACAAAGGCAAGGTGATTCATTTATGCGACTGATTATTAACACATTATTGTGTATTACATAATAATAAACCAAAGCGGATTAGAAATTGTTTAAACAATTTGAGGCCATTGCTTGTCATGGGGCTGTAGCGAATATATATTGGGATATCGTAGGGGATATATTACAAAAATGCCGAATAGATAAGCATTCGAAATTTTCAAACTAGCAGTTAAAAAAACAAAAAAAACAATGATTATGCATACAATATATATATCTATATATGTATATGTATGTCTATAATAGCGTTTTATGGTTTTATGTCTCATAATTGTTGATTTATATGTGTACGTGTATGTATGTATGTGTTCTGTGTTATAGATTGGTTTAAATCAATAGCAATGCTAAAATATAGTACGAATATGCTACACATAAATATATATATATATATATATAAAAATATGTGTATATGTGTGTATATATATATATATTTGACTGAACGTTATTTTTTGTATATATTAATAATTAATATTTTAAACAACACACTTAATTTATGTCCAACTTAAAACACAAAACAGAAACAACAAGAACGAACGGTTGACTTCGGCAAGCCGAATATTGAATACCCTTGTAGAACTACGGTTTACAGCTGTTGCAGATGTGAGTGGAGGAAAGTGAAGCTTGTAATTGCAGAGTTGAAATATCTTCGAAAATCAAAACATTTTTCCTTCCAAAAACACATTATAACATATAACATAATATAATAGTCCGATGTTGATCAAGGCTTTGTCAAGGCAGAATTAAAAACCAAAAAAGTTGTTGATACAAAAACATAATTTTGGATCATTTCTATGCATTGCCCATTTCCTGACAAAGTTAAAAGACCTTCTACAAGTGTATTTAAAATAGAAATAAAAAAAATATATAAATGTTTTAAAAAGTGTGCTAGAAACAATTTGAATGTAGTTCAAACCAAGCGAAACCAGAAAAAATTTCAATGCTTTCCTACTAAATGTTAAAATGCGCCTAAAACGAAAATGAAAGAAAATTAAAACCAAACCAAAATCATTAATAAATGTGATAGTCGCATATGAACGACTATATGATGCCCTATGCTAAGCCAAAGTTGAAACTATAATATGATATAATAAAATATAACAATTTCCGTACATGTCATGGACTATAATCAATATAAGCAGTTTTTTTTTTTAGTATAGATAATATTCCATTTGGGCAAATTATTGGTACACGGCATTACGAGCTGTAGCCCAATAAAGAGATTGCGTTTTAGACAAACTAGAATGTTAAGCGATGCTTGGGCCAAAGTCGAACGAAGCCAAACAGAACCACATTTAAGCCCAGACAGGACATAAGCTATGCAATCGAATGTCCTCTATTCAACAAAATAGAAAAAATAGTAATATATTATGCTAAATGAAAATGTTGTTGTGGCGTAAGCCAAATATGAGATCGGTTTAGAGAAAAATGCCCACAGAGAGGAAAACGTTTTTTTTTAGATTTTTTTACCATAAACTTTAATTAACTACAATATGTGTATGTGTAAAGGCGGCAACAAATTGAATTCTACAAAAAAAAAAAAAAAAAAAATAAATTTAAAAAAATGGACATACATACATACATACATAGGTGTTAAATGTTGCGCCAATACGCCCGCAAAAGTGGCGAAATTTTATTGTAGAGTAACTGTGCGGCTGGTTCAAAAACTATTCCCAATATTTAACTTAAAAACGAAAAAAAAAAAAACAAAAACAAACAAATAGTCAAGCTTTAAATGTTGTACACAGAACATGACGGAAATTGGGAGCGATTCGAAGAGTACATTTATTGTAACCCTAGCTAAATAACAAATAGGAACTCATAAGCCCAAACAACTCTGTATGTAATATTCGTTGAGTCTACGCAGCTCTTAATGAATGTTTAACGTAACTATAGAAAACGAAAAAACCCCCCCAAAAAAAATACCAAATTTAGAAAACCGAAATACATATTTATAAATGTTTAAGACGAAAAGCTATTTAAAAAAAAACATATATATATGATATATATATATATATATATATATACTATACGTATACTTATGTATGTATACATATACAAGCGTACATAAACTAAACTAAAACTATAACTAAAGACGGCAAATGCGAACATTCATACATGAATATTTATACAGACAAGTCTAAGTACATAATGAATTAATGATGATGTGTAATTGCGCCCACACACAAACCATTGTGGAAGTATGTTACGTATTTTATGTACTTCAACTGGAACAAAATTGAAAGCTAATAAAAAATATATAAAGAAAAACAACTAATTTCCATAAGGTACAAACTACTGCAAATTAGTTGCCGCGTAAAAAACGAAAGAACAAACAACAACAACAACAACAAAAACAATCCCAAATAAATGACCAAAAAATACACAACTAACTAGAAACATATTAAGTTGTCATTTCCAATGACACGCCAAACGAAGTTCTTTGGTTTCAAGACAACAATTTAAAGTAACAATAAAGTTATGAAATCGTAGCATGTCTGTATGTACTTACATTGTATTTTGGAAAACGCTAATAAGTATACCAACAATTGAAGAATTCGAAAGTAAAAACCAGCTAACAAGTTAAGAAAATCGAAACAATAAATAAACATGAAATTTTTGTGTGTATGCAAAATAAACAAAAAATAACTGACTTTTAACTTGTGTAATAACCTTGACGCTTTAATATTACAAGCTTGTGTAATTTTTTAATCAACTCAACATGAAAATGTTAGAAAACTAAATTTAGTATTAAATTTTTCAAATTATAGTCGGTTACTTATCGACCATTGCGACCCATCATCTCTGGCCAAGTATCGATAGTTCTTACTATTATGGTAGGCATCGCTATGCACAGGGTTGTATTATCATTGAATTTTGTTCATCTCTAATACTGCGTAGCCGTCGCGTGTTCGTAGATAAATTGCAATTTCGCTAGCGTTTTTTTTTTACATTTTCTTGAAAAACGCAAATAAACCAATTCCAATTGACGCTGGGCCAACAGCGTATTGATTGTCACCAACTTGCAAACAAATCAGCAATTCTACTTGCAAACGGTAATAAGCTATTCCCGAAAGAACAAATTCGTGCGTGTATGTGTCCATATTTGTGTGCGTGTCTGTATATGTGCATAAAAGGCATAGCAACCAGACAAGCGGTCGTTCCCAAAGCATGAAAGCACTTAATTGTGCTTATAAGGATTGCCACAAATGCTGCAAGCGGCGCATAAGCAATCACCCGAACCGCTCGTTAACGATGACAAATGAATCTTGGGGCGGGTTATTTTTTTGTGTTTAACCAAATTTAGTCAAACATTTACTTAATAGAAGACAAAAAAAATAGTATAATCGCATTGAAACTTCGTTTTGGTGAACATGTGCATGTGTATGTGTGTATTAGTGGCGTGTGTGTGTATTTGCTAAACTTGAAATACAACGCAAACGCAACGAGAACAGACTCGTCAAGGTAATGAAAAAATGTGTGAAAAATTCCAACGGAATTACGCGAGAAGCAAATCGGAGGCAGGAAAGAAGCTAAATCAGATTCTCTCTGCAAGTATGTATGTTTGTGTGTGTGTGTGTGTGTGTGTGACGTCGATTGCGTATTGCTCTCAATGTGTGTGTGTGTGCGTGCAAGATACATTTTGCGCCTGTAGTTGTATTTTTGGGCGGGGGCAAGTGGGTGTATGTATGTCTTAATACAACGACAAAAAAAACACCTATTTTTGTGGGAAGTGTGATTCTGACGATTGTAAGTTCTAGAAAAAAAGTTTTTTTATCACACTGCAAGCAGTTGCATAAATTAAATGTTTACATGCTTGTCCGTTGTCGCCTTTGCGCAGTACTGAATAACGATTTAAAATCAGGTGGCAACGCCGACCTACATTTGACAACAGCGCCGTTTTCTCAGCCTCTGAGAGCCATTGCCGGGTCTAAATTTCAAAAAAAAAAACTTCTCACTTTGTTACAAATGAAACGAATTCAGAGATCAATTATATCTTCATAACGCTAGCCGATCTATCGACCGTTTATATTATGTAATAATTTGTGCCAGAATTAGGTTTATCAAAGTTTGGCCAAATGAAATGATAAGTCCACCATTTCGAGTTCAATCAAACTTATATTTGCAGCTGGAAATTAACCAACAATCGATGTCATATGATGTATATCGATATTTACGATAGACACATCCCTGCATGCGGCAACGCTGGAGCAAAGCAGTAGCTCTTAACTGTGAATATTGTCTGTATCGGAGAGCAGTTAAACAAATCGAAACGTTAATATTGTATAATATTTGTGCTAACAGTGCAGCAGTCTAAGCACAGTCTGTCGTTCTTTTTTTTTTTTTTTTCATTTACAATACATACTTGTGAAATGAAAATCGTGTTCTCTGTCTCTCGTACCACAAAAAGCCGAAAGTGTTAATTTGCCAAATTCTGTATATATGTATGTATATATACGTATATATGTATATGTATGTATGTAAATACATACATATGTTTGTGTTTGTCTAATTAAACATCAATGCTGCTGCAGCTAAGATATCTTGACTGGTAAATATAACAGTGTCGCGTGCGTTTTAATAAGGTGTGTGCGTGTGTGCTATAATTTCACGTCTAGGTTTGAACTTGATAATGCAGCTGCATGTGAGTGCGTTTCTGTGTGCGCGCGTTAATAAATTGGTTAAAATACGCATAATTAACAGTTTTTGCATAATCGACATCGTAGCTGTTTCTTTTTCTTTCCAATATATATACATGTGCGCGCTATTTGCATTGCCCGCGCTCCCGGCACCCACGCCATAAGCCACCTGTACGCCCTTGCGCGCTCACACACACACACACACAGTTAAACGAAGTGATTTGCGGTAGTCTCGTGAGCACTGCTCACTTGCCAATGCGATAACGAAAACATATACATATATATTGTATATGTATGTATTATACATATGCATATGTATGTATATTTGTATTTTATTGTCTTCTTTGGCCCATTTGGCTCTGCTTCTTTCCGATTTCGGCTATTGGTAAGCACATTTGTGCTCTGAAAAAATGTACGAATATTTGCACAGCTAAGGCGCCGCCGGTATTGCTCTCTACGCTTCAGCTGCATTTGGCGTCGACGTAGCTTGCAGCTGCGACTGCAGTAGCGAGGGCGGCGCCAATGAATTTCTATTTGTAGAAAAATAGCGCATAATTTGCAATGCAATTGTTTGCGCTTTCTATTAGTAAAATCCACTTTTGATAACACATGCGATCATTGGGCGTGTATGTATGTGGTTTGTCATGGTACAATGAGATCGCGCATTCCTGACGTCACGAGACGACAAATGCATGATCTCTTCTCTTCTCTTTTTTTGTTTCGTTCGTTGATGCGCATAAAGAGAGCCAGAGAGCGTACGAGTTGCCATACATGTGTCAATTGTCATTGTTGAATACATTTTGGGCAGCAGTGGCAACGCCGTGTCAGCTTGTTTATTAATGCAAAATCTTGAGGTCGGGTCAAAAAATGTTTTGCAAATTTAGGAAAGCAAGTGGTTTACAAAGATCGTTTTTTTTTTAAATCATTGTGCGTTTATTTTATTGCAGTTGCAGCCGCTTGAGACGGAATATCACGGCCTAGCCTTGCCAAGCAAACAAGTTTGCCGCGTTGCGTATCAAAAAAGTGAGTAGTTGCACATTTGGGACTGTTATGAAAACCGTCAGAGATTAGACGGACTAGCTTTGCTTAGCTGCCCACAGGCAACACAACTGCTACAACTACAACAACAGCTACAACTACAACTAAAACACCGCATTGCACCCCCCGCTGTCAACAAACGCCGATGCTGCGCCAGAGCAAGAGCTGGAGCCAGAGCCAGAGCCACAGGCAAATGCAGTTGCAGTTGCATATGCACTAACTACGCGCCGCTCAACACAGCCGCTCGACAGCAACAACGCCAGCAGCAGCAACGGCAGGAACAGGAACAGCGGCGGCGTCGGTTGATCAACACTCACATCTAGACAAATACATACACAGACACAAACACACACACACACACACATAGACCGCACACAACGACTGTGACATTACAGTGAGGGTGAGAGACGTAAGAGATCCTTACATTTCACGCTATAATAGAAAGAGAGAGAGAGAGAGACAGAGAGAGAAAGAAAGAAAGAGAGAGAGGGAGTGAGACAGAGACAGAGAAGTGAAGGCAGAAAGCAGGAGGCGTATTCGCTGCCCAGCACACAAAACGCCCATTTGAATGGATCCGTGTGTTGGCTGGTTTCAGGAGGAACAGGAGGGACCAGCGTTGCGTACATGGTTAAAGATTTGGGAAACGAATGCCCAAGAGATGGGTGCACTTCTTGAGCAACAGCTACAACAAAACAACAATAATAATAATAACAACAACAACAACAGCAGCAGCAGCATCATCAGCAGTAACGGAAATACCATCAGTAGCACCGGCAACGGCAACGGCAACAGCAACAGCAGCACTGGCAACAGCAGCACCGGCAACAACAATAACAACAACGCGGTGGCCACAAACAATTTATCTAGGATAATAAGCAACGGTCCTACGATCAGCCTGCGTGATCCCGACTCATTACAAATTCTTCTTCAGCAGTTGAACGAAACGCCAGATCGTCACGGGAACAGCAGCAACATTAACGGAGGCAAAAGCTCAAGCAACACGTCTATCGATTCCACATCGAACAACGACAATAATTCGCCAGCAAGCAGCAGCAGCAGTAGCAGTATCAGCGCAAGCGCCAACACTAACAATTCAGTTAACGGTACACCGACAACAGCAGCAGCGCCGACACCGACACCAACAACAACACCAACGCCAACAACAACAACAACAACAACCGCAACAACAACAGCAGCAACAACAGCAGCAGCAGCAGTGGCTGCTTCAAATAGCACAACGACGCCGACAGGTGGTGATAGCACCAACACCACCACGAACACCACCACAACCACAACCACAACTACAACCACCACCAGTACCAGTACTAGTACCAGTAGCAGTACCACGAACAGCAGCAGCAGCAGCAACAACAGCAGCAGCAACAGCACCAGTTTTGTAGCCAATCCCGCGTCCAAGGTGCCGCTGCACGAGCGCGCCAACACCTATTATAATCCATCGCGCAGGAAACGCGTCGTGGACAACAAGTCGAGCACTTTAAATCTGAACAAGCACGCCGAAATGATAGCCAAATATAAGGGCTGTCCGTGGCGAGTGCGCGACTATCAGTACGGTGACGGTATAATTGGTTTGCACGAGGAGATCGATCACTTCTATCAGTATGTGCTGCCCACGCCCTGCGAGCATGCCATTCGAAACGAGGTGGTCAAGCGCATCGAGGCCGTTGTCCATTCCATATGGCCGCAGGCGGTGGTCGAGATATTTGGTTCCTTTCGCACCGGCCTCTTTTTACCCACCTCGGATATTGATCTAGTTGTACTAGGTGAGCTATCTGGCAGAATATTGCAATCAATCCCAACATATATGTATATTAATCTAAGCAATCTAAATGTTTAGCTTTGTATTCAATCAAGCTTAAACTTGAATATAAACCGCTCCAAATCGATATTAACATGAAAAGATATTGCTATACGATACTCTCAACATATATACCTTTGTATATATTAGTTCCAATATAGATTATTTGATTTGTGAGTGAATTTCCTATAGCATTGGATGCTTTTCAAATTGCATCTCAAGTTGTTCCCAAATGGTTTCTTAACCATCAGCTCATATATAAATCAAGTCAGATTGTATTATATCATTGTTGAGATTCTTCAGGAACAATCAATCGTTAACAACAACAACAAAATATGTGACTTATTTGATTGATCTTAAATTGAACTCTATATTTATACTATCAAAATTAATTTAAAGAAAATAACAGCTCTTATACGGGATTTGCCCGTCCATAGTTCAACATTAATTCAAAGTTCTTAAAAAGATATTTTTATTGAATAATGACAGAGTTCTTTTCGTGTTTTTATCGCTTGGAATGGTCTAACATATTTTCTGCAGCTATTTTATGAAGCTTGTTTTCTTTTTCCCTTCTCTCGCTCCCTCTTTTTTTTTTTTGGTTCTTTTTGCAGGTCTGTGGGAGAAGCTGCCGTTGCGCACCCTTGAATTTGAGCTTGTTTCGCGGAACATCGCGGAGGCCTGCACGGTCCGAGTGCTGGACAAGGCATCTGTGCCGATAATCAAGCTGACGGATCGCGAGACGCAGGTGAAGGTCGACATATCGTTCAATATGCAGTCGGGCGTACAGTCCGCGGAGCTGATCAAACAGTTTAAGCGCGATTATCCAGTGCTGGGCAAGCTGGTGCTGGTGCTAAAGCAGTTTCTACTGCTGCGCGATCTCAACGAGGTGTTCACGGGCGGCATCTCATCGTATTCACTGATACTCATGTGCATCAGTTTCCTGCAACTGCATCCGCGCGGCATCTGTCACGACAAGACGAATCTGGGCGTGCTCTTGCTCGAGTTCTTTGAGCTGTACGGTCGTCGCTTTAACTATATGAAAATTGGCATTTCCATTAAGAATGGCGGCCGCTATATGCCCAAGGATGAGCTGCAGCGCGACATGGTCGACGGCCACAGGCCATCCCTACTCTGCATCGAGGATCCCCTAACGCCCGGCAACGATATCGGACGCAGCAGCTACGGTGCCCTCCATGTTAAGCAGGCCTTCCAATGCGCCTATCGTGTGCTCACCCAGGCGGTCAGTCCGCTCAATCTTTGGGGCACCGATGCACGTGTCACTTCCATATTAGGTGAGTGCATATTAAATAGAGCTAAATACTTTAACACCTTGAGAAACCTCAACTCTACCCTGTCCGCATATCTAACATATATCTGGAGATCAGCTTTTCGCAATGTTTATGTATATAAACCCCAGAAGAGATTATAAGCTTGTAATGTATTTAATATAGTTGGGATTCGCATTTTATGCTATTATTATAAGTTTGAGCATAGGCAAATTTAAAAATTAACTGCATATTTTTGAATGTAAATGCAGTGCTAACAGAAATTAGAATTGTCCAGAACTTTGAACCGGAACTAAAACTTACATCCGGTTTTTTTAATACGAACATTTGTAGAAAAGTTTGGATAGGAATATAAAGAGATGAGTAGATATATTTTGATTCTTTCGATTTATAACTGTTACGATTTAACTTAAAATTACTCAAATAATATTGAGAATATTACAAATCTGATGATATTTAAAACAGAAGCTAATAATTCATGTGTATATGAAAAAGAAGCCTTATAAATCTCTTGATTTTTGTAAATTAATAGAATCAAGGCTTAAAATTTAGGTCTGATGAATCGCAGCTGTATTTATCTTTTAACCTCCTCTACTCTGATGGGTTAAACGGAAGAAGGATTAGGCTTTGGTCCAGACAATGGACATAGCGGTTACTCAGTCCAGTTCCAAATGGACCAATAAGACGAATACATTTTAAGTTACAACATTAGATGATATCAAATTCTATACCATTATTTGTTTCACGATTTAAATGTGCTTTTAAAAAGCAGCTGGACGATTCTAATATCAATTTTTGTTCTTGATTATCTGTATATAAATATATATAGGGCGCATTATACACATAACGGATGACGTTATTGACTATCGCGAATGGATACGGGAGAACTTTGAGTATCTGACCGCCGTGGACCCAATCTCGCCCCTGCCCGCCTATACGAATGGGGCCGCCAAGTATGTGATCATGCCCTCCGGTGCCGTGGTGCATCAGATTTATCATCCGCATACGGTGCTGCAGCCGCACGCGCTGGCGCAGCCGTATCATACGGCGGCGGCAGCAGCAGCAGCAGCGGCGGCGGCAGCGGCTGCACAACAGCAGCAGCAGCAGCATCAGCTGCAGCCACAGGCGCAGCTGGCTAGCAATCTGAATCTGACGGCGCTGCGTCATCGGCGGGGCAGCACCTCATCGGCGGATGATTCTGAGGACAGCAAAGACTGCGAGGTTGGCGACCGGGAACGGGAGTCTATAACATCTGTTGGCCAGCCGATTGTCGAGGTTATTGACATAACCTCATCGCCGCCAAATGGACTGGATGTGGCAGCGATGCCCGTGACTGTACCCAAGCCGATTATGGTGGCCATCAGCAACAGCTCGTTATCGGGCTCGTCGGTAATGCACACACCCACACGCATAGATACATGATGAATGGCTGCCGGCCTCATGCAGCCGCAGCACCAGCAGCAGCAGCAGCAGGCCGCCGGCTGTGCCATGCTGGCCGCAATTGCTCCCAAACCAAATGCCACGCCGCGTGCGCAACTGTTGCGCACCAACGGCGGCGTCGCCGGTGCAGCAACTGCGGCCAGCATGCCAGCCAAGCCACAGGCCCAGCCAAGCCAACATACATGTATATCTTCTTCACAACTACAACAGCCAGACATGGAGCAACTCAGCGATGCCCCGGCGGACGGACTGGATGATCCAATCGTGAACAGCCATATCTACAACACAACCACCAGCCACGTCCAAGCCAACAGCAGCAGCGGCGGCGGCGGGAATACAGCGACGCGAAGCTACGGCCAACAGCAGGCGGGGCAGCGCAGTCACTCGAATTCGTATTACCGTCAGCCGCTCTATGTGCCACCACCCTTGCAGCAGCAGCAGCAATTGACAAAGACCATTTCCAATACCCAGCAGAGCAGCTACAATGGCCATCATGCCCAGCAGCAACAGCAACAACAGCAACAACAGCAGCAGCAGCAGCAACGGCCGCAGCATTTGCGTTTGGCCACCAGCAATAGCAATAGTGGGACAAACAGTGCAGGTGCCGGCTACCAGCAGCATCATCATCATCACCATCAGCAACAGCAGCAACAGCAGCAGCATCATCATCACCACCATCATCATCAGCAGCAGCAGCAACCGCAGCCGCATCACCATCATCAGCAGCAGCATCGGCGGCACTTCCAGTCGAGCGCATCAAAAGCGGTAGGTTCGCCCACAGTATCATCATCCTGCACATCAGCAGCGGCAACAACGAGCGCGCATAGCGGCAACAGCAGCAGCAGCCGTTTGCAGCAAATGCGCGACACTCGTCTCGTCAACTCATCCTCCTCAATCATTTCCATATCATCTGAATCCTCAGTTGGCAGCTCAAGCAGTTCGTCCCCCCGTTCACCGCGCTGCGGCTCTGGTGGTGAATCCCCGGACTCGGCTTCCGGCCAGCTGGCCACTGCAGAAGATCGCTGAGGATATCCAGGCCCAATTCCAATACCAGAGACGCTATGGCGGCCACTGACCCACCCACCCACCAGTTAAGTGAACGGGACAGAGAGCGTGCGAGCGAGCAATCAGAGAATAAGAAGAAGAAATCGATTCAATGAACGCAACAGTGAGCCACATGACTGAGAAACGTGTGATGATGAGACAGGAACAGATTTACCCATTTGATAGCAGATGGAGAGAGAGCGAGAGAGAGAGCAGCTTTTTAGTGAGCGAAAGAGATAGAAGATAGATAGCGAAAGAGATGGCAATAGTCATGTGCATTATCTATGTATTAGCTGCGTGCGTTTAGAATCAATTTTTTTTTTTTTTTTTCTTGTGTGTTTCTGATAGTTTTGTGTACCACATTTTAAGATCACATTCAATCATTTATGCATATACACATGTATGTGTACATAATATTTGTTTATGTATGCACATGTGCATATGTGAACGCGTATTGGCATACATATGTGCATGTAGGCGTATGTATTTGTAAATATTTATATATATTTTTTTATTAGCAATTTTGCATTTCAACGTTTATGAATATAACAAATTATATACTCAACAACCTCCCCCTCCAAAAAAAAAAAAAAAATTATAATAAAAAAAAATCCCTTAAATAACAAATAAGAGAAAAAATTGCCATCTTGCATATAGAAGCATACACAACACACACACACACACACACTCACACACAAAATTAACTGTAACTATAACTGTATGTACTCTCTCTAAATATATATAAAAGATAAACCATATAATTAAATAATGCATTGAACCATTCACAATAGATGCATAATCCATGTATTGCTGTCTCGCTTGCGCCTTTCAACACTACCACACAAACATGCACTTTCCTAAATACATACACACTCACACACACACCCACACATATTTATATATATATATATATACTAATATATAATAGTAGACCTTACACTTTGCCCTACTTGTGCGCTAGTTGGTATTTCATTTTGTTTTTAAAATAAATATGAAAGAAAACTGAAAAAAAAAACTAATTTAAAAAATTATATAAATATATATATATACATATATATATATATTAAATAATTGAATAAAAAAAATAAACAGCGTTTAAGGCAAAAACAAAATTAGTCACCTAAGTTATGTAAAGCGAAATGTGAAGTACGAAATTAAGTACATATATGAAATATTATTTTAATAAGAACACTAGAGTTTGTATAAAATTGTATAGTTATAAGGCAACTAGGTTTTCTTGTTTTTATTTCATTATAATTATTAGAATTACTATTTTTTTTTTTAAAAAACAATGGATACCTATTATCTTATTAAATAAGTTTAGTATGATGCTTATAGCTTAAGCGCTGCATATAGTGTGTATATATCCAAGCGACTCTTAAAAAGGAAGTGTAAAAGCAGCAGAATGCACGCGCAAATATCACGCTAATATTATTAAGTGAAATTGCGCGGCAATCAAGAAACAAAACAGCAACAACAAAAAAAAAAACAACAAAAACAAAAAACGAATGCAAAAAAAAGATAGGGAATAACAAATAGTGTTTGAATTTAACATTAAGCATTGTGTAATTTCCATGATAAGCTCTTGATCTAACGATAAGCTGCTTTTTTTTATTAATGCCTCAAATGTTTTTATTATTATTATTATTATTATTATTATTGAATATCCCAATACGATTTCTGTACTATTATGATTACTATATTTAAAATTCTGCGCCTCAACAAAACTAAAAAAAAAATCCACAAAAATTGTACAAAACACACAAATGTAATGTGTTTTAAAGCAAAACAAAAAAAGAAAACGACAAAACAAGATAAAACAAACAAAAAAAAAACCGACAAACCAAGAAAAACTAAAACCACAACGGTGTACAATTATTCATTATCATAAACTTACTATATGCATATGCAATTCCTGCCATTTTTAGTGTACCTATATACATGTATATTTATATAAATTTACTTATATATTTTTTTTTTGTCAGTTTCTTTTCGGCAGACTTTGGTGCTGCTTTCGTCGAGCCCGAAAACTTTACCACTAAAAACCCCATTAAACTTTCCTATGGGCCAGAACTTCTATTCCCCCGTCCCTTATTTAAATCTTAACTTGAACGTACTGCCATTTTGAGAGAGGTTTTTAAAACAAAACATAAATGAAAAAAAACATTAGACTTTGTACATGTATAACATTTAGGCTGTTCTTTCCATTTGTAAGAGACAAGAAACCAAAAACTTAAGAATTGCATGCAGTGAAAATGTGGCAACGTTTGCCAGTGTTGGCTAAGTTTAGTTTCTCCACTATCCATTAACTGACAAAATGATATATTTCTAGTTACCTTCCTTACTCCCTTCCTACCATGCGCCCCAGCACAATCATTTCTCGATAGCAGCTGAGAGCTTGGGACTTGGCAGCTGCTTTGAAGCCCACCTTACACCCAACATACACACACACTCACACACACACATTGAAATTCACGCATGCATGCGGTACTGTTCGCACGCACACAACACACATACACACCAACATGCAGACGATGCGTTGAAAACGAAATAATGTTAGAATGTCAAAGTAAAACTAATAAGAATTATTAAATTTATGCACTCGTCTGTTGAATATTTATATTTAAATATATATATATATATATATATATATATAATTAATGTGTAGTTAATATGAACTAATTGATAAAAATATGCATACGTACACATGTACATACATAAATACTTATGACTAAACGAGGTGTGCGTGCGTGTGTAATACAGTCGAAAAAAAGTTAGGTTAGGTTTAAGCTGTAAGACTTGAAAACGATGCAAATTAATTTAAAAATACACACACACACATATGTTAGTAGCACACACACAGGATGCATACTAGTTGGATATTAATATTAGTGTTGAGGTTATGTCGTAAATTTTCCAATATCCGATCACTGTTTGCCTAGCCAAGTAAGTTGTAACATGTAACGGTTTTTTATATATATATATATATATATTATAGCATTGTATTTGATTTGTGTATTTTGACAAAACGCATACATATGTATATCGATGTATAACTATCGGCTACAGCGATTGTTGTTTACTAAATGTATGTGGTCATGCGATATACATATAGTAGTAGCCGATCCAATGCGAACATAATGCACATGAGGTACGATATGATATGATGAAATAAATATATATATATAAATGTATATGACGAAATTTCATAGCTATTTAAGGTGAATTCGTAACAAATTATTATATGCATAAAAGTAAATCAACTGATGTGTAATGTATACTTAGCTAATTTATGCGTAAGTCGAACAACGATCATAATATGATGATGAAGTGGAAGCCGTTGCCGCGGCAACCTAATAAATGCCGTGTTGCGTGCACGCAAAAACAACAAAAACAAAAAACAACAATGCAAAATATATGTACTATGTACATATGTATGTACATATATGTTTAGTCCTGTTTACCACTTGATGTAGGTAAACTTAAAGGTCTTCGGATCGCTGGCCTCGCACACATACAGCATCAATATTTTACAGTTGGCATCGTTGATCAGCTCCCGAGTGCCGAACATGTGGACGCAATTCTCGTTGCCTCCGTAATTGTCGGGCATCTGTTTGGGTCCGTTCCAGGGTGCAAAGGTCATGGGGCGGCCAGTTGATAGCCAGTAGAAGGCGCCCTCAGTGCCCAGATCATTGCCGGATATCCAAAAGTAATCGTTATTCTTGAAGCCCTTGGCCTTTATGTACTTGACCAGCGCCTCCAGTTCCGGCTTATCCTCAATGGAGGCCAAGTGAGCGTTCATCATGCGGCAGGCAGCCGCTGCCTGGAACCAGTTCACCTTGTTCATCGGCTCAATGTAATAGTAGTTGTCGCCAATCCGTATAAACGGTGTCGTATCAATGTCCGACGGAATGCCTGGAACATGTGTGTATAGCCATTGTGGAATGCCAAAAATAGAGATAGAAGCACTTGGAATACACTCACCATTGTACACCTCCGTGCGGTAGTTTGTGAATATATTCACATCCGGCAGATAGGAGAGTGCCGGTACACAACAGCAGCTCAGGATTACCAGGCGCAACAGTATTAGGTGTGCTTCTTCTTGTGGATGCATCTTGGCTCGATAGCTGCGACTCTAATTAACTGTAACCGCCGTTCAACGACAACTGTCTTTGACTACCGATTGACTGGGCTTTTATGCACTACTGGGCCTGGCACCGGCTATTCCAAGTCCAATCTCTGTCAGCTGTGGCAGCTGTTATGCAAAAAACAGCTGCACAAGCACCTCGAGCAAAGCACTCCCAGCCTACAGGAATGTCACTAAGAAAACTAAGCGAACCAACTGCGTACTCTACAAGAGAGTATCCTTGATTAATTCAGTTAATTTAGCCGATTACGTGTGAACTCTTCGGCCCGTTTATAAGGACATCCCAAAGTATATTTCCGTTATTTTCTTGATAAAATGCAATAATTTTTCCTGTATGTCCGCGTTATAGAGTATTCAGATTTCGAACACATTTTACTTTGTTATATAAATATGTATACATCAATTAATCTTAATATGCAAAACTGTTTTCCTTGAATCGTTGACTGACTGATTGATTGATTGATGATCTACGCACAGCCCAAACCGTAAGAGATCGACTACAATCTAATTTTTAAACATCTTAGCCGAGACGGACTGAACAGTGAGGCGCCGAGTTCGAATCCCAGGCTATACATATGAATGTATTGTCTTAGCCGAAGGCCACACAACGTATTTTTAATCAACGCCCTTCTATGCGATTCTCATGAACTCAAGCAAGGCTTACAGGCTTTCGAGCTTTGATCATAAGCGTTTTATTGTCAAGTTAATTTGACAATCTAATAAGCTCTGATATCTGCTTAAACTCTAACTCGTATTTACTTTCTGTCTTTTTCCGTCCCGTTTACTCCTTTTCTTATTCTAACCTGCGCTCTATTTTTTCTATTCTTCGAGGCATGTGCATCTATAAAAGTCTGTCTTCTGATTCTTCTTGTATGTCAAATTTTGGGTAAGTACAAGTTTACATTTATATTTAATAAACAATATATACTAAGGCAACATAGACCTGGGTAGGGGCTAATCTCTAGAATATATATAGATCCCCTAACATTTTTCTCAAAGACAATATTTATTCAAAAATTCAACACAAGATGCAATAAATATTTCATTAAAACCTCCTAAGAGTATGCTACACATTCGGTTTAAATAAAAACCGTTAGAGATATGTTTGAATTCCATTTTAAGGAACTACACAATTTTCGTAAAGCTTAATTTTTTTCATTCATTATATATGAGAACATAAATACAGAGCAAAAATAATGCAATAATATAAACGAACAAAAGCCGTCACAGTTAAATAAATTCGTTAATAAACTATTTGCTAAGACAGTCATCAAATGGCAAGCCCAATAATCTTAAACGTACCAGGATCTCAGCTTTAGCTAATTACAATAATATAGTATAAGTTAAATTGAGCATTGCGAATATGGTAAAGCACACGACGCGGTTGCTTTCCAACGGACTTTCGCATGAGTAATGATCCCAGCCAGGCAGATGCACGTTGAGTCAGCGGCTAGATATGAGCAATTGATGTTGTGGGAATTACATTTGCAATGGGATCCCCTGATTGTCTAGTCGCTGGCGCCTGCCATTCCACTCAATCGGACATTCGTAGATCGAACGTGGGCTGTTGGCTCTCTTCCTCGGGCTTGGGCCAAACAATGCCCTCGATCCAGTCCAGATAGCTGGAGACGCGTGTATAGACGCTGGGTGGTCCGCTGGCGCAGCCCTGGCCCAGCGAGGTGACGCCCACCACATACCAGGTGGAACCATTCTGCATGAGCAGCGGCCCGCCCGAGTCGCCCTGGCAGGTGTCGCCCATGGCTCGCATGTCACCGGCGCACAATTGGCTGGCGGCCAAGCCGTCGGACAGGACGTCACGCGGATAGTGCGGCTGGCATTGTTCGGTGCTAACATGCTGCAGGTCGACCTTGAGCAGCTGCGACGAGGAGAGGCCCGCAAAACGTATCTGTCCATAGCCGATGGCTGTTAGATCTTTCTCTGCCAGCTGCGCACTGGCCCAAAGGCAGGCAATGCGCAGACCCGATGGCTGCGCTTCCTCCAGCTCCAAGAGCGCAATGTCATTATACGCGGTGCTATCACTGTAGCCGGGATGCACAAAAACACGCCTGATCATGTGGTCCTCGCCCATGCCAATGGTTAGATTGTCGCCGCCCAGGCGCACCGTGACGGGCAGCTGCCCGCCAAAGCTGATGCAGTGCGCCGCGGTCAGCACAAATGTGGCCGATATGAGGCTGCCGCCACAGCGATAATAGATGCTCTCATCGAAATTGGAGCGCCAGCCAAGCGCGGCCATAAACGGGAACTCGCGATATTTGGTCGGCCGGCCGCCCACAATGGAGATGCCAAAGACAAGCGAATCCTCGCAAGCTGTAAAACGCATGCTGTCAAACAGGAAGTAAACTGGCAAATCTTATATACGATACGCACCCCGAGCGCTGCGTCGCTGCACAAGCGCTGGCAGAGTTGGACGCACTGTGGTGCTAGTCGTGCTAGTTGTGCTGCTGCTGTTGAGGGCACAGCACACATACTGGTCGAACTTGACAAAATAACAGGTCTTGGGCGTGACATGCTCCCGCTCCCAGCGGTTCAGGGCTGCGGGGCAATCCTCCAGCAGCTTACAATTGCCAGGTACACGCTGCTGCTCGTCCGCAAAGCAATCGTCAAACGATTCCTTGGGAAAGACAATGCCGCGCTGCGACTGCGGCCGAATGGCGGCCTGGCCCACTGAAACGGAGTTCAATTTAACTAACACAATTTGTATGTGTGGGGGGCAAAATGAAATTTAGTAGCCTACCTGCCGCCCCCACTGCCGTCGTTGTGCCCAGCACAAGCAGCAACAAGAATGCGGTTTGCATTTTCTCAGTTTGCCTTTCAATTGGGACTTTCTTTGCTGCTCTCCACGGCTGCTCGAGTGCAGGCCTCGCTTCTAACTGGCTTCTCGTTGGCGCCTGCGCCGGTTGCTGGTTGGAAAGTGTGCGTCGCATTTGCGAAACCAGCCAGGCAACTTCACATGTTTCGCTGGCGGGCTACCGAGCTACGCCTTTGGCTTAACAATTGTTTTGATTGGCCTCATAATTTTGGCATTCGGATGGAGGGGTGCTACTTTCAATGTCGATAGCACGTGCTTGTGCTATAGGCCAGCGAACCGTGACCGGTTTTGTTAGCTACATTTAAAGGGCAAATCATTGCTAATCACATATGTATGTTCGAATTTACACAGGCAATTGTTTTTCTTATTTTGTCGCACTTAATTGTCTTGTTGTTGCTATTGCGCGCCAATATTTTAGTTGCGCAAATCTCTTAGTCATTCGTGGTGGCGCCATCTATTGCTCGTTTCGTTGCCCACAGCTGTTGAGTAGCTGCTATACAATGTGTTTTTTGTTATTTAATTCACGTTTAATTGTTTACCACAGCAGCATTTACATATTATTTTTTGATTTTTTAACTAGTATCAACATTTTCTAATTTAATAATTCCATAAATAAACACAAATATGAACATTGCATACTCGGTATATATTCGATACATCGACACGATAAATACCACAACATATTCTTGTATGCCTATCGATACATGAGCACGGCCGATATTGGCAGCGTTAATTCAGTCGAAAAAAATTCATTGAGCGAGTCGGACGTGGTTTGAGTGCGAGCTTTTGTTTTGTGTACGTCTTTTAGCCGGCATTTTACGCGCGTTCTGTATTTACATTGTAAGTGACGCGCGCAACAGGACGTAAACAACGGTAAAATTTATTAAAAATAGACGCATGCATGCGTAATTTAATACGCACACACGACCACACACACTCGCACACATACACAGATGTAATTCGTGTGTGCGTGCTGTTTGTATTCTGTTTTTGTTTTTGTTTTCGTGCAATATTTCCAAGTGTACTATTCCTGTATGTGTGTGTGTATGTGTCTATACGTGCACTGACACTGTACAATTGTTCCAATTTGAATACCGAGCTCTGAAGGTAAACCAGCTGCTCGCTTAGCTGGTTTTCAGGTTCGACGTTTAGACGTTTTTTGTTTTTGATAAATAAAAAAAAAATTCAAAATAATTCAAGTGCAACCCTTTTGTTTGTTTCGCAATGACGTCATTGGCCAATGCCGATCATAAGCACGCGCGCTGCTCATTTACTTAACTATATATAGTATGTACGTATATGCCGTATATACATATGTATGCATTTATTTCATGAATCATCATCTTCTAATGCTGCGCCAAATCCCGCTTCGATCAACTCACGAACTCACAATTGGTTTGCTGATCAAGTTCAATGCTGGAGGCCATGACGTCAGCTGCTATTTCGAAGTGAAACTTTAGTCATGAGCTCATGCCAAAATTCTGGGCCCAGGTTAAAATATATGACTAAAGTTACAAGCATTGTTTCCGGCATATTAACAAACAATAACAGCAACAACAACAACAGCAACAACTACAACAAATATTTTCAACTACAACGATCGATTGTAAAGCACAGCCGTCGTTCTTATCAGCTGATAATGAGAAATTGCTCAAGGCACACGATAAGATAAGATACAAATATGTAGATACATAAACAGACACAAAGACACGCACACGCACACATACACATGCTGCAGTACGAAAAAGGTGCGCAATGTGCTCAAAGTTGTAGTTGTCCATTTATGGCACTTTTTATACCCTGTTCATTAAGTGCAAACGAGCTTTGCCAGTGTTGTGCAATACCCGGCTGTCTGTCGAGTGCTCTGGAGATTCAACCCAATTTGGCAAATCGATCCGCCCCCACAAATTGCAAAAATCGATATTTTCGAATGTCCCAATTTGCGAATCGCATCTTTCCGCTAACTGTGAACAGCGTACCGTCTTAAGACTTCAACAGCAACTTTTTCTTTTATTTTCTCTCTCTTTTTGTTCAATGACATTACAAAAAAAATGTTTAATTTTGTTGGTTTGAGCAATTTACAAGCTGTCCGTTTTTATTTGTATACATTTTAGAGCATAGCAGTGGATTTATTAAAGTACAAATTAGACGAGTTCCAGCAAAAAAAAAACAAAAAACAACTCAGTATAACC